TGTTTCTTCCCACAATGCAATCTCAAACGTTCAGTGTACGACACAGAAGCAGCCACCAAAGTACTTTCATCTCTCTTTAAAAACGTCCTTCCTCTAAAAGCCGCTTGTTGTCTTCCACGATAGCCTATCTGCACAAATTCATTCCATTTTGCTGCTGCCTTTATGAAAATTCTCGAATTCTTCTCCCGTACTTTGTTAATTGCCCGTCATTTTTCGAACTTATCATTCAGTATTTGCGAGTTCAAAAAAGCCCAGCAATGTTGAAAGTGCCAGAGGCGGTCGCCGTCTCTCGTTCAGTCAGGACTCAATCAAAGAGAGAGCAAGGACAGTGATGTCATACTAAAACACTGAAACATTAGTGCTGCGAAACTGTCAGTCAATACAAATGGCCCTCTATATCATTACGACCGACCATATTCCATTTCAGTTCATATGGTCGAAACTCCCTCAGCCTTCTGTTTCGTCTGAAAATTCAATAATCCGAATGTTGGGCACAGAGAAGTCGCCCTTCCTTTCCTCTCACTTAAGGAAATGAGTTTAACAATTTGTGATTAATTATTTCTTTGTCAATAAACATTAATGATGACAAATTGAGGTCAATATATGAATGTGCATGTGTGTGTGCCGTCAGAGAAACGTGATAGTCTGAGTGGTCTTATGAATGTGATTCTTCAACTTATGTCTAAGGGGTGATTGTTAAATCAAACAGACTTTGACTTTTTCTTTGGTCATAAGATGAAAATCTATCATAAAATATAAATGATATCTTTAAAGCTATAAAAATCAACATCAAAGATCAAAATAATAATAAAAAAAAATAGATGTATTGTGTGAAAACATCAAATGTCTGACATTTTCACAAAACCAATTCTGACACTAATACTTTTGGTTACAGACATTAGTGTCAGTGATGCTTGAGATAAAATGATACGTGAGGTGTGAAATTCTTTCATTTGAATTATTTTTATTTTCTTAAGAGTGCATGTGTTATCAGACAGCATATACAGCATCTAAAAATAATTGCTAGAGCTGCATCTTTTTAACCTTGTTCATATGTGTGAACAAAAAAGCCCAAAACATCAAAAGGGACACCCACCATCCAGGTCACCCCGTTTGAACTGTTGCCTTTAGGCAGACGGCAAAGATCAATTAACGCTCAATGCGTAAAAAGAAAATTGTGCATTATGGCAATACTCATAATGATTGGCCCCTCTGGGCTGGGAGGTTTTTTTGTTTGTCTGTTTGTTTTTTTAGCGTTTTGATGTGAAATAGATCGATGCAATGACAGAAAGTATGCATGTCTGTGGATGTATGTTCATACTGTTTTTATGCAATGACATTGTGTTCATACTGTGTATGAATGTGTGTGTTTTTATAGACTCTATGAATGATGGACTGACTGGAGAGCACTTTAAATTTTATTGTACCAGTGACACTGACAAAAAAGACCTGTTCTATCTATTCTGAACTCATTTCCAAAAAGAAAGAAAGAGAGTGCATTTGTGAGTGTATTTCATCTTTGGCGAAGATCTTCACAAATTTCCTGTGGTCAGAGGTGGCCAGCATTTGCATAATCTCTGGGCGTAAATTGCTGAAAGTCTAATTTTCAAACATCCGCCCAATCTCCGTCAGGCGTAACACTTAATCAGAGCTCAGTCCGGCAAACAAGCGGGGTCTGGCACGTTGGTCATCCCTCAGCCTTCTGCCGATAGCTTTCATTTCCCTCAGCCGGAGAATTGTTAATGAACATCAAAGCTATCTTAAATCAACAGTCTGCCGCAGGTGAGAGATGCTTCGAGTGGAGAGAAACAAACCTCTCATGAATCAAAGATGCTCCTTTTCCATCCCGGTCCTTTAGGATATTTGTTTATAGCTAACTTTCAAGCTTACTAATCACAATTCAAACTCCACGGCACGCTCAATCACTCTGTGCAGTCTCTCCATCTGCAATCTAAGCAGCAATGTGCCAATACCTATTTTCAGTCTTTAGGCAAACGAAAGGATTCAAGGCGCTTTCCGCTATCGGCACAATTCGGGCGTATTAACGATGCTTTAATTATAATTAAGACAGATACCTAAAAAAAACAGGGATCGCTGGAAAGAACAAAACACTCGCACCTTATTGGGATGTGGGCTGTTTGCACACTTGAAAGGTGAGACGAAAGCAAATCAATAATGAGCCATTTTGTAATTAACAGAATGTGCGCTGAATTAGGCAAACGACTATCTGGAGAAATTGAAAATATTGATTTTAATTTATAAAATATATTTCAGCCCTTTGATGCCCTTGCGTCGACAGACAATTAGATTTAACCATCACTTGGATATTTTTGCCTTCTCGTTTCTTATTATCATAAAATCTCGATATTTTCCCATGTAATGGGGAAGATAATGATGTTCGGGGAAGGTCAGAGGCTTGGATGGCCAAGGTTGAGGAGGAGATGACCGAAGGAAATGAGAGACTTTCAAAACGATGAGACCCGCTCACTTTCAAAGGCCCATAAAATGAAATGAAGCCCTGGGGGTCTGGAAGCTGGCTGGATTGTGTTTTCAAAGATGTATACCATGTTTGCAGTTGTGACAATGGCGTCTTGGAGCCTCTTGCCAATAGACCAGCAAACATTGTGAAACAGGCCCTTTGGGTGATTAGAATAATCACTTCCTGCTTGCCAGCTCTTTCAAGCCTATGCCAGAGCTCGTAGATTAAGGTCACACCTCCAACCCCCAGGCACACAACTATGCCTTCATCAAATAATGCAACTAAACACCAACCCGTTTCAAATTTCTGTTTGCTATTCCTAACCAAACAATTAACAGTACTGACAGAGATCCCAGACACTTAAAGGGTTAGCTCACCCAAAAATGAAAATTCTGTCAGTAATTACTCACCCTCATGTTGTTCCAACCCCGTAAGACATTTGTTCATCTTCAGAACACGAATTAAGATATTTTTGATTAAATCTGAGAGCTGGATCACTCCTACATACGAGTCCATAGGCTTCTTGAGGGATTGAAACTTGCCGGCCTCGAAAAGTTATTAAAGACATTGTTAAAACAGTCCAAGTGACTACAGTATTTATGTTTGTTTTTGCGCACAAAAAGTATTCTCGTTGCTTGATAAAGTTAAGATTGAGCCTTTGTAGTCACTTGGACTATTTTAACGATGTCTTTCAATCCCTGAAGAAGCCTATGGACTAGTATGGAGGAGTGAGACAGCTCTCAGATTTCATCAATAATACCTTAATTCACGTTCCGAAGATGAACGAAGGTCTCACGGGGTTGGAACAACAAACATGAGGGTGAGTAAATACTGACAGAATTTTATTTTTTTGGGTGAACTATCCCTTTAATGTGTTGGAATTTCTTTGCACAACAAACCAATGATTAAACCAAGTGGCATCGCCAACAAATAATGCTCTTTTCTCAGAAATAACATTTCTGAGCTGATTTTATTCGATGTCTTAGCAGAGTAACCACAGGTTTAGTTCATAACATTAACTACCAAATATCGAATTAATAGAGTGAAAAGGACACATTCAATCTTTAAGATGAGTGATGCTTGCTTCAATTTTTTCATCAAATGAGTTATCTAATGCAATGAGATATATTAGTTTTTACTGGCCAATACTTTTTGGGGCCACTGTTAGTTCAGTAAATGAAAATAAAATAGCATAAGAGGAAAAACACTATTTGAAAGGAATATGAAATTATCATATTTGGTATAAGAGTAATTTGCCATTTCATATCCTCTGCAGCATTCATAAATGGAGGATTCAAGGCATGTGGGTTGAGAACATTTTTTACGCACACGAAGGACATTAGTGATACTGCCCATTAGCCCTAAATGCAAATGCATTTAACCCTCTGTTACAGGGTTGCTTTCTGCAAATGATTTATTTATTTATTTGGAAGCATAGTAATGTGATTGTATTTATTATTATACGACAAAATTACGATCACTTTCTCAAACAAAGGTGAGGATAAATGATAATGAGCTGATCCATTTTAGTTTACAGAAGTTCTATATTTATAAATATATCTGATATTGTCCAAATAACCCCCCCCCCCCCCCCTCTCCTTTTAGGCTGTTTTTAATTTGATCTATTTTATGTGCACAAGTCAAATAAAAAAAAAAATTACAAATAAAAAATTACAGAGCCATTTCCTTTGAAATGAGGATCCACTCACCTGCATAGAATTCTGGGCTGTAGACTGCACCCACGACTGGATTCAACTTCCAGCCTAGACAGAGAAAGAGAGGGAGACCATCTGATATTAGCCACCCTCGGTCTGCACAACGAGAATTCTACATCTGATCCTTCACAAGAGTTGGCTTCTGGTTAACTAGAACTTTCATGCCCATGTGTAATGATGTCAGTAGCGGGCTGACCACACTGAAGCACTACTGTCATGCAGAGCCAGGATATGGCCATGAGTGGCCTGACAGATTCCTCTCTAATTCTAACCTCTACAAATGGCCTGTCTGTCTAAACCCTCCATAAGTAAAAAAAAATCCTGTGATATCAACTGAGATCTGATCTAAAAGGCTGTCTCAGTTTTCCACTTCCATTTAAACTTGCGGGTGAGGAAGAAAAAAAAAACAGCCATGAAAAACATTTCAGATGATACTCAGAAAATCGACAATTACAAGCACTCTCCTTCTCTGTTTGAAAATCTGTGGGTCTCGGGCAACATGTTTTTCAGATTTTGAATAAGACAGTAGAGTTGGTTACACTTTATTTTTAAGTATTTTAAAGTGACAGAGTTACATTATGTACCTTTTACCCCCTGTCTGTGAAGTTGCATACTCGGTATAAGGTCTAAACTTTGTGCTGTACACCTTATAATGTTAATATATAGAGTGGGGTCCCAAAGCATGAGACCACTTGGGGGAAAAATAGGATTCAAAAAATTAAAACAGATATTATAATGATTTGAAAAAGCATGTAAATAATCATTAAAAAAATAATATATTTAAGGTTCTGCACTATTTATAGGTTGTTATTTAGATGAGTAAATGTGTGACAGATGCACAAGATGCTCTTTGGATTATTCTCAAATCATGCTGGCATGCTATCATTAAGTCTTTTCCCGCCATTGATGGAATATTGACGGAATTTTCCATCCTTTACAACACGCTTGCACACCAATGACGGAATTTTCTGGCAATCCATGTTTTCAATGTTATACGGTAGGGGGTGTCGCAATTACGCATTTTCTGAAAGAGTACATCATCTCCAGAACAAAACACTGGCGAAAAAGAAGCAGAAACAAGTAATAGAAGCATGGTTTATGTAACAGAGGCCAGGTAATAAACACTGTGATTGTAAACCTCACTCCCCTGATCTCAAGAGACACACTAGTGACTCACACTAGAGACTGAGGTGTTTAGCCTCCTTGTTTTCTTGAATTTCTCAGTTTTTTTCAAACAAAATGTTGCTTTTTATAAAACCCTCATTCATGTTCATAAAAAGAACACATGAAGCTAGATTTTTTTTTTGTGTGTGTTGTTGTTGTTGTTTATTTTAATATATGGCATGTTCAGATTTTCAGACAACAAAATAGTCTGGGACCATGAACGTTTTGTGAAAATCAACAAAAATGCTGGCGGTGGCTGGCAACTTTTTTAAAAACACTGGCGGGGAAAGAGTTAAAGAAATATCAAGTCAACATTTTGTTTCCATCAATGGTGGGGAAAGAGTTAATAAATCACAAAAATACTAATTAATTGTCAATATCAAGAGAACTTGTTCTTACCATTTGCATATGGGTTGACAGTCTTTTTATTCGTCATTACCCGTGCTGTTGCATTGTTTACCTGAGTACAAACAGCAGTGTGTGAGCAAGAACCATACTGAAGCTAAAGCTGTAAATATTGAAATATTGCATGCATTACATTGAAGATTTTCAAAATGATTATAGATCATAACAAACAGTTAAAGAAAAGTGTAAATACATATAAAGCAAAGAAAATATATGCAACAGTCTCATAAAAAGACTCGTCAGCATGCGCCATCAAATGATGATCACGTTGAAGGAGTACATGGAGTAAAGAAAAACAGAAACACAAAATTCACTCAACAAACGAAAGGCATCGAGTATGAGACAGCATGCGGTAGAGAGGGAACGACTAGGTTAACAGAAAAACAAGAGCGTAGGAATGGAAGGAAACAAAAAGTTTGGCATTGTGCAACATACACTAAACCTTCAGAGTTGAGGTACAGTCGGAAAACAAAGCAACATTTAGCATTCAACACTCCAAGAGCCTTGTGCTTCATCACAAGAATAATAATCAGAAAGATAAATGAAAAGAAGTAATAACGAAAGAAAATCATTCAAGCCGAAAAAGGATATAAAGAGAGTGCATTATTTAACATAATCATGGAGTTCAGAATCTGAGTAGGATGCGCACGATTCAGTTCAATCCAATGAGAGGCTCTCAGGAAGCTAAGTGTTCACTCAAGTAACACGCGTACCAAGAGAAAACAGCATCAAGAAACTCAACATCAAGTCAAAAAACAGTCACGAGGTATCAGCGCGAGTTCGTGAAATGGCAGATGGCTCTCTCCACTTACCATTCGCCGCCATCGCCCGCGTGTGTATGTATTGTTACTGAGTTTGGCGAGGGGCCTACCAGCTACCGTTGGAAAAGGGGGGAAAATGAGAAAGCAAAAAAGCCATCATCTTATTGAAAGATGGCACCACGTCACATCCGAACTCTTGTGAAAAATTGAAAATAAAAAAAGCTGCAAACAAATAAAGCAACAACTGTTAAAGGTGAATCGGCTACAAGGATGGCCACTGTCGTTGACCGTAAAGTAGACAACAGTGCTCTTCTACACTGTCAAGTAGGTGTCATTGGAGCTGTAGATTTAAAAGGCTTGTGTGTTTGAGAGCAGCCCCGTCTAACAGCAGCGTCTTCAGGCCAATTAACAAATGCTGCCGGCTCCGGGCCGCTTTTAGCGCAGATCCCTCGTCAACTTTGCAATAAGGCCTCTGGCTATCATCACACAAATGCTGTTTGCACTCTGCCTGATGACTCGCTGCACCCATTTGCTTATTAAGCAAAAATATGCTAGGAAAGAGAACAGAAAAGAATCGAAGCGAATGCCAACTAAAGCCAACCAATTAGATAACGCGAGCACCGTGGTCTATCTGACTTGAAATCTTAGAATAACTGAAACGGATTAGGGATACAATGGGGGGAGGGAGGGAAAGAGAGAGGAGCACACGCAGGAAAAGACGAGGGATGCGTCTAAAACAGTGAGATGAGAGTGAGGCGCACACTGACACACACAACAGAATAATGGATAACAACAACAACAACAACAAGAAAGACAAACAAACAAACAAACAAACAAAAATGAATAAAAGAAAACAAAAACAATTGAGAAGGGAAATATTTGTTACATGCACCTCTATTTTACGACCTTCTACCACCGTGCCGTGTAATTTCTCTCTGGCCCTGTCCGCATCGGCACTATTTTCGAAAGTTACGAAACCAAAACCCTGCATGCAGGTGGGAGAGGGGAGGGGGGAGAACAACATGCACATTATTAATTCAGTCATACACCCAAGAAATCCACTGTGGCTCTACCTCTGCCATTCTCACACACAAAAACAGCTGCTGCTGCTGCTACTGCTGCATTTACCCCTCTCTCTTTCTCCTCCTCTTTTCTCCTGCACCATGCAAAGCATCGAGATTAACCATAATTTACGGGTTCTGTTAGAACCTCTAAGGAGAAATCAAATACAATAGCACGTCTAAGAACGTAAAGTCACTTAAATGAAACGTAAAAAAAAAAGCAAACAAAATAGTACACCTTTAATAACAAGTCTTAGAATAAACATAATCCATTTGTAAAAAAAAAAAAAAAAAAAAAACAGTGTCATTTAAAAGTCTACAATGCAACATAAATAAAAGTCATCACAAAAGAAAAAAACAACTCGTCAGACAAATGATAAAGGATTGTGTACTAAAGAACTTGTTAACATGCATCATTATCTCCCCCAGCTGGAACAGAAGAACATAATTCATATTTCAATAAAGAAAATTGTTTATGCACAGGAATGATGCTAAGTGTCATAACGCTGAATAACGCTGTCAATTACGTAGCTCAGTGGAGAATGTTCTTCATTTGACACCATAACAGAACAAAGACAAGTGCCAAACACATTTCCACACACTCCATTGAACAGGGCACTAATAACTCTAGCACAGCAGCTGATATGAGATTGCATTACATACGTTAACATGACTGCAACAAGCATTTATTCAGTACAATACAGAAACTAATTCATCATTGGTTTCTTTCCCTTTTTAAATAAACATGATGTTCAGTTAAGCCTCTAAACTCACTGCACTGTTCTGAATGGTCCAAGAATATGAGCATGCAAAGGAAGTATGTCACACAAACGTACCTTTGATCCTCGTTCATTAAATATGATTTCAACATCTAAGATTTTACCAAATTGCTGGAAAGAGAACAGAACACAGATCAGACATACTGTCTAAATTTGATTTGACATGTAAACTCACTTTCTAAACATTTACTTAATCTAGGTGCATCAAGATATCCACCAATTAACCAGCAAAATCACCAATTCAATTTTAATGGATCATTTATTATCAATTTCTTTCAAAAGAAAAAAAAAAAGATAGGAAAGTTTAAGTAATATTATTTAATTTGAGTTGTTTAAAACTCTTTTTGATTTTGACTTAAAATAAATAATTATACACAACTCAAAAGTTTGGGGTTGGTAGGATTTATTTTTTTTTTAAACAGGTTTCTTATGCTCGCCAAATTTACAAAAATACAGTGACATTTTGAAATATTATTACAATTTAAATTTACATACCTATTTTGTATTTTAAAACAAATAAACTTCCTCACACCTCACACCTCCAAATAAATTACTCATGCTTCATTTGCTGCTCAAGAAACATTTCATATTTATCATCAATGTTGAAAACAGTGCCGCTTAATATCTTTATTGGAAGCTTGATAGTTATTCAGGATTATTTGATAAATAGAAAGTTCAAAAGAACAACATTTTTTTAAAACAGAAATATAATGTAACACCTATTTTAGGCCCTATTTTAACGATCTGAAATGCAAGTATCAAGCGCGAAGTGCAAGTAACTTTGTGGGCGAGTCTTGAACGCTGTTGCTATTTTACTGGCGGGATAAATGACTCTTGCACCCGACGCAAGTTTAAAAGGGGTTTTGGGCGTAACAGAAACAAACCAATAAGAGAGTCATATCACATTCCCTTTAAGAGCATGATGAACGAGGTGCGCTTGTTCCGTGGCGCAATACTATTATAACGGCGCATTTACCAAGCGCACAACAATCGGTTCACAGCCGAGGAGATCGATGTTCTCGTCAAGGCCGTAAAAGAAAGAGAAGTAACATCGGGGATGGGACAAACCCACCCAAATTAGCTTCGTTAGTTAAACATGCTTATAATAATTTGGGTAAATGTGTAAGCTTTAAGCCAATTTTTCCCATCGTCATGGATACAACAATGATTTCCCTCATGTTTTAATATTTTTTTTCTTATAATAATGTATCATTTGCAAAAAGTAAAATGCATCTGTGTAGATAAGCGAATCATCCACAGTGTATGCGCTTTGTTCACATTCTGTATTATGGCCAAGCATGCGCGCTTAAAATAGCATCTAAATGTACGCGCAACGCACCACTGACTTTAGACTAGGTTTCTTCTGGTCATTGGCGCAATTATTTTCTTGAACTGCAAAATAGCAGCACTAGGGATTGTTTGCGCCGACACACGGCTCCTTTTTTGCGCCGACCCGCCCAGGGAGTGCGTCTGTGGAGGGAAAAGCCCGCTTTGCACGGGTGCAAAATTGGAATGATAAATGCGTCAGTGTACAAAGTCATTTGTGCCGGGTGCAAGATAGAGCCCTGTAAATGTGTTGTAATCTTTTTACAGTTACGTTGGACCATTTTAATGCATCCTTGCAGAATAAAAGTACTAATTTAATGAAAAAATAAAACAAAATCCTACTGACCCCAAATTATGCATTTTTTTTCATTTAATATTCAAATAAATCCTTCAGTTATGGCCTATGGAGCTTCCAAAACAAGACTGGACCCAAATCGCAGATCTTACCCAAATCAAATATCATGGGACATGCATTAGGACAGCACACGGCTCAACAATATTATTGATCTGTGTTGTATTATTTTCATGTTATCGCTGTGAAGCTGCTTTATTTATACAATCTGTATTGTAAAAAGCGCAATATAAATAAAGGTGACTTGACTTGACTGGCGGCGTGGCCACTGTCTGTGCTGTGAATGAGAAAGAGAGAAAACAGGTACTTACGCCAAACATTTGCCTGAGGTCTGGATCTCTAAACCTGAAGGGGATATTAGAGACGTGGAGCCTCTTGGGCTGCGATTTGTTTTCTGTGTTTTCAGATGACTGTGTTTGCTGTTGGCTGTCTGTCTGTGCTGAATCGTCTGTCTGCTGTGTGGGGGAAAAAAAAGAGAAAGAAATCAGGGAATATCAGTCAGTAAGACTGGCAAATTTTGATGTGCCAACTGTAAATAAACTCAACAAGCGAAGATGCTGTCTTTGCACACAAGTATTTGCCGCACCACTGGTGTGCTTTTCGACTTGGTTCATCGCAGTACTGCAGTCTCAATGAACAGTCTATCGTGCCTGTACCTCCAGGCGCTTCCACGGAGCCGTTTTAACAACGTTTCTGGTGAAAACTTTTACCACCTGTTCCTGCCTCCCTTTCTCAGGCAGATTTGAAAAACATATGTAGAGCACGCACACACAAAACGAGGCGTAGTTTGTAATGCGGTGTTTGCAGGGGTTGGGGCAGTGGGTGGTAGCTGTGGGTGATATATGACATGGCTGCTTCACTATATCTTGCTTTCTCTCGCTTTCTCTGGCCACGCATGACTGCTGGCTGCTCCCTGCAACTATGTGCCTCTCAGCCTGGACTGCTGCCTGTGTGTGTGCGCGTGTGTGTGTGTTTCTGTCTGAATGTATTTGTATGACTTAGCTAGAGAGAGTATTGAATTGGGAGACTTTACTTTCTATTTTTCTCCCTTGTGTACGTTTGTGTGTCAGTGGGCGACTTCCAAATGGCATTTTTATGCCCTTAAAGGAACAGTATAACCAGAAAAATTAAATTCTGTTTTCATGTTGATCCAAACCAGATATTTTTTTTTTTTTCAAAGGGATCTTTTTTGAATGATGAAGCAAAAGCAGCATTAAACCAAAAGTATTAGAATAAACAGTAACGATTTCTTTAAAATAAGTGAAATGTTATTTCAAATTGAACTGTTTTCAATTTTATAGTATATTTGAAAATGTCATGTGATGTCAAAGCATCATTAGGCTACTCTAGTGTTCAATGTCACATGATCCTTCAGAAACCACTCTAATATGCTGATTTGCATTATCATTTTTGAAAACATGTATTTTTTTTTCAGGATTCTATGATGAAGAAACTAAAAAAGAAATTATATTTCACCTCACCCAACATGTCTCTGCCCTTAGGAGTGAGGCCATAGTGGTGCTCTCTTCAATGTAATTCACACATTATGTGTGTTAGCATGAGCATGTTCACATGTATGTGAATTTATGTGCATTTATTTTCCTTTGTAGCACTTGAGAAGCGGAGGTTCTGCCTCAAGCCTGCAGTTATGCCCAGAGATATTTTTTAAACTTTCTGCTTGCTGCAGCTGTCCTGTCATGCTTCAAGAGCTCTGGAAATCATATTGTCTGGAACAAAAGAATGACTGAGTCCCAGTGTAACAACTGCCTCTGACATTACAGATGCTCAGGACTTTTAAAGCAAGCTTCACTGGAAATACTGGCAACGGAACGGTCCATGTGTCTGTGTGCGTGTGGCATTGTTATTTAAATCAGGCGGTGCTCAGGGCGACTCTGACAAAAGCGGCAACAGAAAGTTTAAAAAAAAAAAGCAAAGCTCAAATGAAGAATAAAGAACAGCTTGCCGGGACTATAAATATGAATATCGTGTCATCAAAATGTTTGTACAGTGTACGATGTACCCACCCGACTGAAATGCAAGGGTGGGGGGAAAACATGAGAGAGCACTTGAAAAATACTAGTCTTTCAATACATGAAAGGCTGCAGAAGTGCAAGGAGAAAAAAAAAATCTGTCTTGTGTTATTACAAGTCATAAACAAAAGAACACCCACTCCTCAAGGCAGAGAACAAAGAAAAAGCGGAAGATAAAACGCTAAAGCAGTGTAGTAAACCATCCAATGTAAAACTGACAAGATGTGCGCCGTCTTTATTGCTTTAACAAAATTGCACTTTTCCTATTGCGGGAGGCTCGGTTTAATGGCGTCGTGAGGCAAGCGGCCCTCAGCAGAAGAGACAACTGGGGTGTTATAATTGGAAATATGCTTTTCCATTTACAGCTCTTTCAATAAAGGTATAGGAAGGAATGCAGCGGGTCTTTAGGTTGAGGCACGGCACGGTCGGCAGCCATATGTGCGGTTTTAGAGATCTCATTTCATGGTCTGTGCATATGGCTGCCTTAATGGCTCAATTAATTGATTCCGAAATCAATTAATCGATTCGCCCGTCTAGTAGCCGTGGGGAGCCGGGGGCCACGGTGACTGATCTCAGGGTGATGGGATGAGACGGAGGGGAAAGAAATAAATCTATAGAACTAAAATAAGGGCCAGGGGCAGAAGCGAAACACAGTTTGAATCACATTCACAGTGTGTGTTGAAATATTCAGGCATCAAACTTGCCTTGAAATCCCGCTTTCATTATTCAAACATGCGATGCACAATACGATACTTCCAATCGTTACAAATCACGATCGATTCCAAAGCGGCCTAAAAAAAAAAGAGGAATAAAGTCCTCTGTGGCCATTTCTATGGAGCAAGAGATTGTGTTGCTCCCTGTAGGGAGGAAAGGTGAGGGAAAGATGGAGAGATAAGGACAGGAATGTGAGGGAGGACAGCGGTTCAGCCTGGGAGACCTACTCAATTACTGATTGGGGACTCACAGAGTTGTGAGTGTTTACCATTCATTGATCTCACACTGAGTGCTAAACGGCAAACAGTGACAGGGCTGCCGGTGTGTGCTCTGAGCACACACAAAAACACACAGCCGCTGGAGTGTAAGAGCCCACACGGACACACATATGGCAGCGCTGGACAGAAAAAGATAACCTCACAGTGAGGACTTGGAGCATAAAATGCCTTTAGAATGTTTTCCATTTCGAGGAATTTTTCAGTGTGGGGGAATGTGGAATAATTGCATCAACCGGCATTGATCCATGAGGGAGCTTTTGTTTAAAGGGCACCTATTATGGAAAATTCACTTTTACATGGTGTTTGAACATAAATGTGTGTTGGCAGTGTGTGAGCAAAACCACCCTAGAATGATAAAAATCCACCCAGTGGTTTTTTTACAATCTCAATAAATCATATGCACTGTGTCAGAACGAGCTGTTCTGAGATTCAGCTCTTTGTGACGTAGAACGGGAGACAGGGGGTTGATTGACAGTGTGGCTGTGGCCTAGACCCCGCCCTCGGTGATCTGTACGTACATCATCCTCCATTACCTGTTATGTCTCTTGGAAACATAAGTGTTCTGTCGTGGACTCGTGGGTTAATCCTGTTGTTGTGGCTTAAAAGTTAATCCTCAACTGTGGATCGTCATCTACTGTTTGCGATCCACCGTCACATCCAGTAACAGTAAGTGTGTTTTATGATTTTTGAGCAAATAGTCTTTTCAGTCAATGTCAGCCAATTCAACAACAAATGCGTCTAAAGTTGTTGTCGTCGTAGGATGTCTGTGTAGGCTATATAATTTAAACCTTGTTTGTATAGTGTGTAACCATACGTTTATATATATTTAAAGATATTGTATTAAAAACTGCATATATGTTGTTGTTCTGTATGTTAGCCATCTCCTCACATTTGCCACATAAGCACCCGTATGGCAAGTAAACATGACGCCACAGGTCCCCGTCCCTCGCATAAATGTAATTTCGCTTGTACGTAGCAAACTTTATCACAGTATGTGTATGTAATATCAAAAAAATATGCGCTAGCATTAGTGTTTATGTGTGTCTGTGTGTGTGTGTGTTACATGCCCATCATTTCAAAGGGAACACGATTACAACGCTAAAGTACATAAATGTATCAAATAACCATACCGAGACGTACTGGTCCATTCTCATTTGTGTTTATTCTGCCGGAGTCTCTTCGTGCTATTTATATATTCCGATTCAAACGTACTCTGAATGACATTCAAAACAGCGCGTCTCTCACTCTCTCAGTACCGACTGCCGATAGGTATCAAGTTACGCCCTCATCCAAAGGCAGGGCGGGGATATGCAGCTCATTTGCATTTAAAGCCATATACCTCCGAAACAGGTCATTTTTAAGCAGGCCCCAAAATGACATTTTCAAATGGTTATAATAAATTAACTGTGGGGTATTTTGAGCTGAAACTTCACAAATACATTCTAGGGACACCAGAGACCAATATTACATATTGTAAAAAGGGGCATAATAGGTGCCCTTTAATAATGTGTTGTACGTTTCATAAAAAGGAAAAAATATCCATATTTCATTTATCTATATGCATATGTAAGTGTGTGTGTGTGTGACATTTTTTCTTTATGTAATGTATATGCAGTAGAATATGTGTGTGTAAATAAATATAAATATATATACGGCCCGTTACCATACTTAACCTAAAAGGAGTGGAATGGTTGTCATTCCATTCTCGGAACAATTCTGGGATGTGTGCCATGTAAAAATATAGCCTGTGTGTGTGTGTGTGTGTGTCTGTATAGCATGCATACGGCTGACAGTTTACATAGCGTGCCATCTGTGCCGCATTCTTTTCACTGGCAGAGGACTTCAACATGGAGGGAAAAACAAAAACAAACAGTAAAAAAAAGCCTTCCAGTTAATCTTTTTTGGTATCAAAGGATTCATTAATAGTCATTCATTATAACAGAAGCATATTTTGCTGCAGTGTTGGTTTTACATGAGCAGAAAAATAAAAACCAAGCATTTGGGAAAGATAAACCAACCAAAGCCACAGCGCTCAGTGCTTCAGAGTGCTGCACGCTCATTTGCGAAGACGTTCTCATGCACAAACAACTGCACAATAGCTCACAGAGGTACAACACTGAGGGATTCCTGCACTCAGTGAACCGCAGAGGCAAAAAAAGACAGATAACGTACATCAGCGATGATGCCATTTTAAGATGTGCTATTTTCAGCACAGCAACATTACTAGGATGAAACGCAGTAGCTGTCTAAGTCAACCTCCACCATCATCTGCGCGTCTACAACCATCCGTCGACCCCCAAAAGCTGCACCAGAGGGGTTGAGAGGGGGACGTTCTGCAAGATGTTTGCCCTCTTGAGGGTGTGGCCCAGTCCACACGTGCCCTCCCTTAAGGAAATCAGCTCTCACTCCGCCTGGGTGAGGATGGTCTCCTTTGGGACCGCATGGGGGAACGAGGCCAATGAAGCACGACAGGAGTCAGAGCAGCAAGCCGACATATTGAGCTGACATCCACACCATTTGTCAAACAAAAAAAAGCTGCATGAGAAAATAATCAACAGATTTACAACAAATATGAGACCACTCATCTTTCTGAAGTGACACTATCTAGTAGCGAAATGTCAGTTGAGAGGAGGGAGTACCTGCATATCACTTGCATATTCACACAGTGCCCGCAAACCAACCTGAATGGGTCAAACATGGAGGCAATGGATGGGCTAATTAAAGAGCAAACAACTCACCCACTATCTGTATTGTCCGAAACTAAATGAACTTGAAATGATCTGTGAGTGGGCCGGTTTTAACAACCACTCAGGCCTGTTAAATAAATTAAAAGTCCACCTCTGTGTCTGTGACCATCATTACATCTGTGGTGTTTGCTGAGAATCTGATGACTAATGTCCTAAAATGAAGGTGACAAATAATAATAACAGCCATAACAAAACTGTTAAGAAGAATTTAAATTTCTATTTATCTTTGTTAACATTAGTTTATAAATACACAACTGTTCATTGTTTGTTCATGTAAGTTTACAGTGGATTATATGGAAATTATGTTAACAAATACAACTTTTGATTTGTATAATTTATCAGTAAATGTTCAAATTAACACAAACAAATAAGGTTAATAAATGATGTAAGTGTTGTTCATTCTTAGTTTATGTTAACTTAAGTTGTTAACTGATGGTGAATAATGAAACCTTACTGTAAAGTGTCACCTATTTCATAATAATTTTCAATTCATTAACATTATCACGTCATAAGGTATAATAAACTAAAAAAAAAAAAACATTTTATTGCAGCATTCATCAATTTAGGATAATGTTAATATATACTGTAAATTATCTATTGTTCATTATTATATCTAAACAAATGTTAATTTAAGCAACTTCATATGCTAAAAATGTATTAGTATACACTGCTGTTTAAAAGTTTGGGGTTGGCTGTTTTTTGAAAGACCTCTCTAATACTTAACAACATTGCATCAAAAATACTAAAAAATAGTAATATTGTGAAAAATTAATACAATTTAAAATAACCGTTTACTCTTTGAATATATTAATGGAATTTTTTTTCCTGTGATGTCAAAGCTAAATTTTCAGCATCACATGATCCGTCAGAAATCATTCTAATATGATGATTTACAGCTCAAGAAACATTTATTATTATTATTAATTTTGAAAAGAGTTGTGCTGCTTTGTATTTTTATGAAAGACAAAAGCAGCATTTATATATATAAAAAAAAAACATAAAAATAAAAAATCGTTTAAATCATTGTAAATGTCTTTACTGGCACTTTTGTGCATCATCAACATATTTAAAGGGATAGTTACCAAAAAATAAATAAATTCTGTCATTCTCTCCCTCTTTTCGTTTCAAAACCCACAAGACTTCATCTTCGGAACAAAAAATTACGGTATTTTAATGAACTCCAAGAGATATCTGTTCCTCCATTTTTTGTAAAGCCTAAATTTAAAAATGGAATCTGTTCATTATATAAAGCAATCATGTCTCTTCAGAACATTTCGACTAAACCACTCAATTCATATTCGTCTGCTAAATGAATAAATGTAAATGTAATGTAATCTCTTTATTAACTTTTTCTAGCATTAAAGTGGTAATTGCAAAGCTGTCAACAGGGGCACAGAATGCTTTTAGATTGAATTAAAATATCTTAATTCAACGCATTCTCATCCTAGGCGTCATCTAACTGACACTTTTGACCATGCGTCTATAAATCCGACGCACATACACCTTATTCAGAGCAGCGCCATGACAGGTATGAGTGAGGCTGTGAGGGATAGACTTACCGTGTTTCCAATGGCATCCGCTGTAAAAAGCTGAATAAAACTGCTAGATACTTACAATTTTCCACAGCTTACATTGTCGGGAGTTTTTTGTCAACTGAAATTTCTTGGAAATATATTTTTTCAGTGTTTCATGAGCAGAACAATCCGAAAACACATTAAATAACAGTACAGCCCATTGAAGAGATGCATGACTATCCCTCACAGCCTCGCTTTCATTCTCATTAAAAATCAAAGATGGCGCTGCCGTGAATAAGGCGTATGGCAACCTTTAGCATCAGGTTAGGTGACGCGGGTGGGTTAGGGGTAGACCACTAGGAGGCATGTCTCATATTGACGCAAAAGGGTGCCATGTGCGTCCGATGTTGACACATGGTCAAAAGCGTCAGTTAGATGACGTCTTAGGATGAGAACGGGCTGCTTAATTTGTGTTTTAAAGATGAATGAAAGTCTTACGGGTTTGGAACAACATAAGAGTAATTTATCCGTAACATAAGAGTAATTTATAATTTCATCCGTTTTCATTTTTGGGTGAACCAACCCTTTAATCTTTGCTGAATAAATTAAAAAAAAAAAGTACTGACCCCAACCTTTTGAACAATGATGTAGAGATGAACATTGTGTTGATGTCCTGCAGAGTTTAGCTCCAACCCTGATCAAACACACCTGAGCAAGCTAATCAAGGTCTTCAGGATCAGTAGAAACTCACAGGTAGGTGTTTTTGATCAGGATTGGAAGTAACTCTGCAGGACAGTGGCCCTCCAGGACCGAGATTGAGAAACCCTGATCTAGATGAATAAATGTTTCGCATTGTTAGATATACTAGCAAATGCATCAACTAATGTCAACAAATTGTATTGTAAAGCATTACTACAATTTTATATTATTGTCTGCTTTTGGAAAGCAAATACTGTTCCATATGCATTCATGAAATCCAACACTAGCTCTCACACACTGACCACTGAGAATATGGCACTGCGCTCTATCAAAACAGCAATGAATAGCATCTATTACTGTATTAAAACATTCCTCTGGGAGCTGATTTGTTACCACCTACTCCAACAAACAAAGAAAAGATGAGAATGAGGGAAGTATCACAGTATAGGCCTCTTTTGTTTGTAGATGAAGGATCAGTTGTGAGGAACGACTTGGATCTAAAAACAGCTCCAGCCAGATGAGGTCATAGCTTTGGATGTCTGTAAAGTTTTGCTTTCTCTAGGCTCATAAAGTGAGGGAAAGAGATTGAGAGAGAGAGAGAGAGAGAGAGAGAGAGAGAGAGAGAGAGAGAGAGAGAGAGAGAGAGAGAGAGAGAGAGAGAGGGAGGGAGGGAGGGAGGGAGGGAGGGGGTTAATGGCTTTTCCAGATGTGGGTTTTGCTCCCTTCTGCTCTGGCACTAAAAAAGAAATTTGAAGACTAAGGTAGAGGTAATGAAAATCTGGCCGCTGTTCGCAAGAAAGCTCATATTTTCCTTCAAATCATCAGTAAAATGGTTAAAACATTTTGTCTGTTGAGCAAATGGTCTAATTATGGGATACAATAGGAGTTTCTCCTAAAAATGCGAACATTTTTTGTTCTTTCTAAGGAATGGTTCACCTCAAAATGAAACTTCTAGCATCATTTTTCTCACCATCATGTCATTCCAAACATGCATGCTTTAATCCCCCCTCCCTAATGCAACAAAAAAAAGTAGACATTTCCGATGATTTGTTGCACATCTTGTGCCATTCGAACTAAACACATTTAATGCGAAATTTTAACATGTAGAAATTACTAGCATTAAAAGGGTGATAATATATATTATTAGGGAAAATAAATACAAATATTTACAAATTTAGTTTATGTGGCATAACTCAAAATCATAAAAATGGGCCACATTGCCCCTTTACTATTGGGCCAAAAAGCCCCCCAGGCTCTTCCCAGCTTTCATCTGATTGTTGTGGAATATATAAATTACATTTAATACCATCAAATTACAAAATCCCAGTCGAAGGGATACATCTGAATTCTGAGTTCTTTACAAAATACTATGAATTATACACAGGCCTATATTACAATAAACTAACAATTTTTCACACTGAATGATTCTACTCAACTGACCTGTAGGTTATGATGAATAATAAAGTTTCAAATGTATTATTTTATAAAAACTCTACTAATATTTTATAATATTTTTCAAATGAAAAACAAACAAACAAACAAACAAACAAACAAACAAAAAAAACAATAAATCACTGTCCACAATTAACAGAGTCTACACTCTAAACAATGCTGGGTTGTTTGAACCCAAATTTGGGTAAAATATGGACAAACCCAAAAATTGGGTTAAAATTTTTTAACCCAACTTCAACTTTCACTTTCAAATGTCATTTTTTAATTAACCCAACATTTGGGTTTGTCCATATTTGACCCAAATTTGGGTTGAAACAACCCAGCATTTTTTTAGAGTGTATTGACACCAAATAATACTGTCGCTTTGCATGAGGAACAAACCAACATTTTAAGTCACTATTCACTGATCATTTACAGCTCACGTCTACGTCATGAGCGTGAGAAAATAATGACATAACTTTTCTTTTAATAAAACTCCAGTGACTTCTTGTTACTATGCAGAATTGCACAGAAAACGTTCTTAAAATTATTTTAAAAACCTAGAGGGAAAACTTCACCAAACTAAATTCAGCGAGAGCACTTTGTACTCGGAGTTGGTGAAATAACACAAAGATAGTCAATTATTCATGGAAATGCCCTGAAACACATGAAATATTAAGGCAGGCTACAGCACTGATGTCCTTGGAGGGCAGATCACGGAGGACACCTCAATCCACAGCACAATCCAAAAAACCTGAACCGTGACAAGCAACGCCATCAAGAAGAGTCGGAGATCGAGAAAGCGAGAAAGAGAGATATATTCTGTAGAGAGCGGCGCTTACTGTGGCTGTGCCGGAGACCGACTGTACGCTGTTCTCTGGTCCGCTGGGCTCACTGTGCGTCTGGGCAGGGGGGTACATGTTCAGAGTGTGCTCTGCCACGGGGGTCTGGCCCGGGTAGTCTGGAGTCGGGTGAGGGTGGGACGGCGTGTACTCAGCAGGAATGCCGTTCTGAGGGGGAGCGAACTGGGCCGATGGGTAAGGCTGGGCCATGGTTTCTGGGGGTGCTGGGGCGTCTTGATTACCCTGAAAAAAAAACAGTGAACAACAGAAAAATATTAGCGACATCACAGCGTAGTTCACTAAACGACCAAACAAAACAGTATGTGGACACCTGAACGCCACTTCCATATTTACATTGAGTTTCAAAACCATATGCGGTTGTTTATAGTGATTTTAGCTGCTACAACAGCTAATAATTGCAAACGTATTATTTTATAAATCTACTATTTTGTAAAAATAAATGCTTAGCGTGAGTGATGGGGATTTTGAGTCATCTTAGTTTTTTTCTAATCCACCAAAAATAGATTCATTCAGATTTGTTCACCGACCCTTCATGCAGGTTACATTGTTACAAAACAGGTGATAGTGACAGATAACTCATAACTTTGAGCCCAGAAAGATTGTTCAAGCATCCTGCAAACCTTTATTGTCCTTCATGATTTTTTCACTTAAAATACAGATTCCATAACATCACTGTGTTCAGCTTGAGACGGATGTAAATTTAGATTTTTTTTTTTATCGTACATCACACTCACATGATTTAAGACATTAACGTATACAATTACATTACATAAAACAAAAAAAAAAACATGTATGATAGTATCTTTGTTTAAGGATATTTGTTAATAAAATGACAGCATCCAATTTAAACTCAAAAATCATATTGTCCGCAAAATTCATTCATGAAGTTTACACTTTAGTCATATTGGCTTTAGACATACAGGTACTGCGTTATTTTAAATATGCTAATGAAAATATATTGAAAAATATTCATGAAAATGCTTTATCCTTGTGTTTGATGGATAATCAGTCTAATGGATATTTTGTTTCTATTATTTATTGTAGTTCATTATTCGTTAAGTTATTCGAATAAGTTATTATTCACATTTTTCAGTGGTATTCAGCTTCATCCCTATTTTCTATCTGACGTTGGATCATGGGACTTGCTCTCATTCGGACACAAGAGGTCAGACATGATTCTATTGGTTTTATCATTATGTCCACATACTTTTGGTCCATATTTGAGGTCCACACACACAAGCTTCATCTCGCGTCATTCATGCTCTCTGTGTGTTGAACTATTAGCGAAGCACACGCTCGGCTTCAGACGCAAGTTCTTTCATACAGCTGGGCCAATTAAATTACTGAGTTAGCATGCACCGTGACCAGACCGACAACAAATGAACAAGCCCACCCACAGACAAATGCGTTCTGTACACAACGCTCATCAGACCTTTATCTCAGGAAGAGCTTTCTTATTTGATCAAATCCAATTCATCCACCTCCCAGCACCCATATTATCCACTTATGCATGGAGATGTCTATACACCTCGCACACCAAATCTACGCTAAACCGTGCCCCAGAGAGACCAAAAAGCCATCTAAATTAGCGTTCGCTATCAATAAACAACGGCAGATTAGCAGAATGAAAAAACATGATGCACGACAGCACAGGTAATGGGGAAGTTTCATGAAAAATACATTCATCTGAATGGCAGTGTGGAATTGATGTGGATACTATTTGTTTCACCCTTAGGTGATGGTACAGTAGCTTTCTATATTTGTCTGGATTTTGTATAACCAGATGGTGTGTTTTTGTTCTGTACAGCCATCTGGAAAATGTTATTGCTTTGAGGCCATTGTTATTTTAATATTATTTCTCAAGTATTATAATTCAAATGAGCTTTTATTTTTATATTTTCAATTTTTGGTTTAAGATTTAGAATAATTTAGTTATGCTATTTTATATAGTATAGTATATATACGTATACGTTTTCAAGTTTTTCATCAAATATAGATTTTTTTGTATTTTAGTTTTATTTCAGTTAATGAAAACTTTTTTAAATAATTTTAATTAACAATAACAACACAGTCAGAGGTTTCTGACAACTGTCAATTGTTGACATACATACAAGTAAAGATCTATAGCCATAATGAGTGTGGATTATATAACTCAGATAATGAGACCTTGGGAGAATCTGAAGATTGTTTGCATTCATTTCTTTGACTTTAAGAAAGACTTTCAGTGTGTTTAGATTTTAAAGATACCAAAGAAACACATTTTAGGAGAAAAAATCTGAGAAGCAGGTGACTTTATCCAAAAATGAAAATTATGTCATCATTTACTGATGCATAAACAAAATATTTTTTGAAAATGATTTTTGTCCATACAATAAAAGACAACATCTGATTCTACAGAAGACAGAAATTCTTACAGGTTTGGACTGATTTTCATTTTTTGGTGAACTATTCCTTTAAGAAACTATATATGAAGACATTTTTTGAAACAGGTTTAAGAGAAAAATTCTGTTCACTCTCCATTTATTCTCACTGCAGTCTAGGAGAAATGATTGAGATATTAAAGAGATGTAATTGGTTATTTTCCATTCTTACAGGAGGAAACACTTCGTGACACACACATTCACATCTTCTTCATGCCAAACCATGAGTTATGTAGGCAGAGAGATCCCAGCGCCCACAGGCCTGTTGAAAACACTCTGACATGGGACAACTGCACATTATAAAAAGAGCAAAATATACTCTGCCACCACTTTCTCTCCTCTGACCACAATGCTACACTACACAGAAACACCCCCTACGTACAAAGCGTAGGATAAAAGGAGAAAAAGTTCACAGTCCTATCTGTGATTTACATGAATATTCCAGTCTAAAATTAAAATCTGTCATCATTTACTCACACTCAGTTGTTCAAACCCATACAGTATGATTTCCTATACAACAGCATGTGATGTGTGAGGAACATGTATGTACTGTATAGTGTACATGTATAGTGATGCCATATCCATGAACAGTTTTTTTATGTCAAATATTTTCAATGAATATTAAAATTGTTATGTTTTGGAAAACTGGACTAAATCATTTGTTCAAATTTACCTCATTCTCTCAGTGACCTGGTTGCCCACTCGAGTGGAAGGCGATAAATAAAAACAGGGTAAGTTTCGAATTACCCACTAGTAGTGAATATTGACATTTTAGAAAGAATATACGGCCATATAGACCACATTTAGGATACTTTCATGGTACGTCGGCATATTTTTTGATGCTCCAGCTCCAGTAAGCCTAAGTCATGGGTTCAATTCCCATGAAATGTATGCCCTAATAAAAATGAATACCTTGAGTGCAATGTAAGTCACTTGGGATATAAGCATCTGCCAAATCTGAAAATGTAAACACTAAAAAGAGTGGTCAGGATGTTTTTCAAAAATTCACCTTTTGCCTTCTCCAGAAGTCAGTCACACAGCTTTGGAACAACGTGTAAATAATGACAGGGTTTTTATTCTTGGCAAGTTGAACGAGCCGAGAAGAGCCAGGAGGGAAGCCGCAACTTGCTACTCTGTAAACGGGACCTTGTAAAAAAAAATCCCTGCTGTTCCTTAAGCAGATGTTACACACATCACGCTGTTTTCCATTAACACCATCAGCACTTCGCATAGCACATTGATATTCAAGAGCGGGCACACCACGCCATAATTAGACTATCATTTGATCAGGAGTGCTAAACTCTATACACAAGTGTCAAAGACGTTAAGGGGAGGGTGGAAGGAAAGTTAGAGAAAAGGCAGTGGTGCTTCTCCATGGTGTGGGAAGCCCCTGACGGTGCAAGTCTGCTTGGAGCTCTACATTCGCGGTCATTGTAGTCGTGCCGTCGCTGATATTTTTTGGAGGCCCTCGTAAAATAGCTGTTGGCAAACACTGGGAGAAAAAAATGCGATGGCAGACAGTCAGGCTTAGCTAAACGCTTTGGCCTCCACCCTAATGAGAACCACATTTGGAGGACTGAAATATGTTTTACGTGGCAGCGCAAAGGATTCATCACTTCACTGTGCTCGGCTTCCAGGCGAACACTTAAACATACGCAGCTATAAAAAAGTGGCTTTGTTTTGGTAAAGGGCTTTTTACGACACTTTGCAAATATAATTTCGCGCACAACGAGACTACTCCTCCCTCACTCTCGTAGGCGAGAATTCGCTCTAAATTCCACATGTACACGAATAGACGCGGCTCACGATCGCAATGAGTTCAACCGCATGCTAATGCCTTAAAATGATGGAAAGCCAGGTGGAGCACAGTAGCACCAAAGCGGTACGTGTCAAAGTTCTTGCCGGTAGTGTTCGACTATTATGGAGCAAAACAAACCGTTTGAAGAGCAGTGGGTCTAACTCTTGTCTGCCTCACTCACTTTTCTCAGGCTGGATGACAGAATTCGGCTCATTTAATTGATCATGTGCTGCCAAATTTGTGAGTTTAGCCACCTAGACCAACACGAAACAGAACTCAGAAATGGATTGGAGAGAAATGAGAAAGAAAGAGAAGGCGAAATGTGTGAAAAGAGAGCAAAACAGCTGCTGATAAGGCAACTTGAAAAAGAGTTGCTGAAGGGGGCTCCCTCTCTCTCTCTCTCTCTCACACACACACACACTTTCTCTCGAACGCAGTCACACACAAGCCACTCGCTCTACTGTGCAGCCGCAGCACAAAAGGAAGACGCAGGAAAAAAAAACGCACTAATGCGCTAGGTAAGCAGAATAACAGGGAAAAAATACCTGTTCCACCATCTTGCTCCCTTTTTCCTCCATAAACTAAGCAGCTGCCTTAGTCCCAATCCCTGCAGCATCTGCCTAAAGCAAGCATCAATTATAGATGAGGGTGTGTGTTCAACTGCTGTGTGGCGAGAGGGAGAGTGTGAGTGTGTATGTGAGCAGGAGGGAAAGGAGGGGTGGAGAAGGAGGAGGGAACTAAAGCAAGTGAAAGCGAAGCTCCAAAATTTCTCTCTCTCTGTCACTCTGAAATGTTAGCGATTCAGGCCATTCTGGGAGCACGTAAACTAAACTTAATTTAGAACTGTGATATAGATTGTGAAAATATGTTAAAGCTGAGGCTGTTGTCCTGTCTGTGAATGTGCAGCTTTTGGATTTGGATTGTATCGCTGATGATGACATGAACACTAATCTCAGAATACCTGTTTTTTTAAACATATAGGAACTGTGAAGAATGGAGCCTAA